GCCGGAACGCCGACGTCGCACAGGTTGGAGAGCGTCTCGAGCGCGTCGCGGGCGAGCTGTGCGTCCTCGTCGCCCGCCAGGCGCACGAGGAGGCCGATCCCGCCCTCGACGATGAGCCGGAGCGGCTCTTCCGCCGACAGTTCCTTGAAGGAAGCGAGCGCGTCGCGCCGGTCATCGAGCTGGGTGGCGCCGCCGAGCCGCTCGAGCAGCGTCTTGCCCGACGCCTTGCGCGGAGTCGCGAGGAGAGACGTGAAGAACGCCATGGGTACCCTCACACACAACTTGCGTCAGGCCGGCGTGCTTCAAAGAATAATCCCGGCTGCGTTGGCCTCTTTTGTAGGGAAGAATGTTAGGAGACGGAACACGGAGGAGCTGTATAGGTCACTAGAGACCCACACCATCGCGTGCTCGAAAAGAATTTTAGCCGTACACTCTGTCCTTCTCCCACCCCTTGTTTGGCGTGTTCCTTTTATTTATTTACTAACACGGTTGTCTGTTTTTTCTTTCTTTCTTTACTAACACAGGTACATACACCACGGGAGCCGCCTAAGCGACTCCTGCGAGGACGGCGAGGCACTTAGTCCGTGCACTCGACCGCCCTCGCCGCAGGCAAGCTCATTCACAATCTGCTCTGCGATGGCTGTGTGAAGAACGACTCAGATACGCTGCTTCTGCAGCCCTAGCCAATTCTTGGTGGTCCAAGTCACCTCATTGAGGTACTGGGCCCGCGTCAGCTTGTTCTGCAGCACGTTCGCCGGCCTTCCTCGAAACGAGGAATTTTAGGTTCGCGGCGTGATGGTCTGTTGAGCACTTGAGCACTTGATAGGGTCGATTCCGCATGGTACGGGACCCCTCGATCGTCTCGCCCTCCCTCACTGGTGTGTTCATTGGGTGGGGTCATAACAAACACGGTACAGGATCGAGGTGCACGCTGCTTTCTTTCTTTCTTTTCCATACCTCCCTTGGCTTGCCGGCTTTCTTTCTTTCTTTCTTTCTTTCTGGGGACACGGGACGGGCGTGCACCGAAAAAGAATTTTACAACACCGAAAAAGAATTTGTCGGCCGACCTCCCCGTACGTGTTTGTTGGGTTTCTCGGGCGGGTCATGACAGATCGGCAGCCGCCGGCGCGCGGCGGGGCGCGGCCAGGCCCGCCTCGCGCCTGCGCAGTAGCCAGCGCCGGCGGGGCAGCGCGGCCCACCAGCACAAACTTGCGGGCGGGCCGGCGCCCGCTTGCGGGCGCGCCGTCCCCCCAACACGGTCTCCATCATATCTCAGTGGGAGACGTCTGCGGGCGGCGGTGGCGCTGGCGGGGTGTGGCCGATCTCGAGCTAGGGAGCTGCACAGAGTCAAGAGGAGCTTGTGTTCACGACTAGTTGCAAAAAGTCTCACGTGGAAAAAAAAACTACCAAAACGCTGTCACGGCCAGCTCGGCACGATCTACTCAAAAAGTGACGTAGAGCACCCACTTTTTAAGCGTTCGCCGCATACACAAGGTCCGCCTGCGTGCGGCGCCAGCTTCTCAGGGCCATCGCGCGAAAAACGACGGAGGAGATGCATCCTAGCTGTCGCCACCGAAGGCGACTCGACGTCGCTGAGATCGGAGATCAAGCTCTGACAGGTCACACGTCGCTCCTTTGACGCCGACGTGGCTCACCCGTGCAGAGCGCATCAGGACACGGTCTCGACGCGCTCGGTACGACGCCTGCGACCCGTCTCGGGTCAGGTGGCACGACGCGCACTCATCGCGCCTACCAGCGCTGCCGTGCAGGCTGCCACGACGAGGTCGAGCACGCTTCTATACGCTCGCCGAGCCTTCCTTTCCATCCCATTAGGCAGCCTGGGAACGGTGGCGGTCAGAGGCAAAGCCTGCGAGGGGCGGTGGAACCACATGTCACGGCCACCGCCGGCTCGACCCCACGATAGCCTCCGGAGGCTGACTTTGCGGCACCATCATCGGACGATGTCGACGAGTTGGGTCGCTCTCACGGTAGCCAGGTAGCCCCCCATACTAGTAGCACCAGCCATGGCCTCAGGGAGCGCGGGCGAGGGCGCTGGGAGCAACACGGACAAAAAAAACATCAAAAGTGGTGATTCGACCCTTAAGATAC